ATTATTGGTATTTTGTTTTTCAAGTTGCACTAAAATTAGCCTAGCTAAAAATTACGGAAAATAATGGATCTTAAATTACCCTAACCCAGATAAGAATTTTCATAAGTACATATTTAACTTTTACCAGGAGGAAGACGCGATTTTTCAAATAATCCCAGTATTTTATAAAAAAAATCTAATAACAGAGTAGTAGTTAGCTAATTCGACAACACAAAGGGCTACATGCAGCCTATTCACTTTTAATCGCTAATATGGGCCTGTGGAGATTAAACTAAGTGTACATATACTGAAATATTCACTCCTTCAAGTGTACATCCATTATTGCTCTCATCACACGTGGTATCCTTTTCAGAATATATAGTGTCGAGAAGAGGCTATGATACTTAAATAACTATAAGACTAGACAGGATTAATCTTATCGCCGTAATTCTTTATGTTGAACAAAGCCATCATTAGCTGGACGGAAGATGGAACCAGAATAAGAAAATGAAGTCCAAAAAGCAGTGTTCGTCTGATTATTAAGAGAGATACTTACCTTAGGTGTCATTAAAAGTAGAGAATAGTCACAATATCGTGACTGGAACAGTACACAAATACACCGCACGTAGAAGAAACTTATAACGACGTTTCAGGTCCGACTTGGATCATAGTTAATGCTCAAAGTTGGACCGAAACGTCGCCATAAGTTTCATTCTCTTATGTGTGGGTTTGTTATGTATCATTAAAAGTATTCAGTATATTTTTTAGAGCAGTATAAAAAATTATAAATTTAAAGACGCTTTTACTTGTTTTATTAATAGGTGGTTACTGTATTTTATTTGGCAGGAGAAATGGGAAAATTTCTCTACTCGGTTTGGTCATTTGTGAGGCCTTCCGGTGATGGTGGTCCACCCCATTGAATGAAATATTACATCAGAAAATGTGATATTTAAGACTTGTCACATCACTTGGTTAATTCGATCTAAAGCCAATCCATTTCACAAAAGGTCATTAAGCCTGTACGTAACCTGCATAAGGGGAATTACCAATAAACCCCTGGCTACCTTCAAGAGAGAGCTGGACAGATACCTCAAGTCAGTGCCTTATCAGCCGGGCTGTGGTTCGTACTTTGGACTGCGTGCGGCCAGCAGTAACAGCCTGGTTGATCAGGCCCTGATCCACCGGGAGGCTTGGTCGTGGACCGGGCCGCGGGGGCGTTGATCCCCGGAATAACCTCCAGGTAACCACCAATCAAGAATACAATTCTTCCTAAAATATAGGTTAATGTGAACTAAGGTATATTCACTGAGATGCATACACTTTTCAGTGTATATAACCTTGAATGTCTTAATACACAACTAAAATATGTAATGGACTTAAAATAGGTCTCGCAGAACTAATTTGACAGTAAGCTTGCGTTTTGAGAGTAGTGCGAGCCACAGTAAAGATTCACATTTCGGCAGAGTCCATGCTGAAGGTTCCATTATAAAATACTAAATGCATATATTAAGAAGTTTTTCATTTAAAGTAATAAGCGTTTAGAACTAAAGCACATTATAAGACAATATAATTAGCGCAACGGTGGGATTATTATAATTACTTTTATCGAGTCATATATAGTGTTATATCCTCTTATAGCTTTACGTAATACTATAATAAGTCTAACAAAAAAGTGTAATAAATGTATATATAATATGGTAAGATGTCTTGTAGGTTTTAGTTTGTTATGTTTCGATGTTTTCACACTTCTGTTAGTTAATGGTAGTGAGGAACACTATACCTCAAAATAATGTTATTTCAGAAACAGCAGTTTATGTAACTTTAATAATGCGTCTTTTTGTACAAGTTAATCATATAGACGTCTAAAGTTGGGTAACTCGATAAGCTTTATCATCCTGTTTATCTGGGCCAGGTGTTTGTAGATTCTCATCTTGTTCATGTTCGTCGTCGTTATTCTCATCGTTATGATCTTCGGCGTCGCTGAACTGTGAAGGTGAGTCCATCCTATCTGGCAGGTCACCCCAAGACACCCGCAGACTGCGGCGTGAGTCACGGCTGTGGTCGCGGCCTGATTTAAGCACCCCGGCAAGTGGTCGTACCTCCACCCCGCCGTTATGATTCATTTGTGAATTTTCGTCATTTGATGAAGGTGCATCATTAGTAAACACTTCGCTATCGTCCAGAAGTGATGCACTGTCAGCCGCGGAGTCTTGCAGGTCCCTTCTGACCCAGGGATCCATATTTCTTTCACTCATGGTCGGTGTGTTCTCTGGGGAATAATTCTCCTCACCTACTTCGTTGACTTCATGAGTCTCTACCGGAGCACTAGTATTGTCTTCACTACCCGAGTGTAAATGCTTATCTTCAAATGTGGGGGCTATTAGTCGAAGGAGTGTCTGTGAAAAATTGTCACTCGGGGACGAAGAATCTCTGTGAAAAGGAATTCTCTTCTTGGGACTCGGCTTTGTTTCTGGTGTTGTTTTACTTCTGTAGCTTTGTCTTTCTCTACCGAAGCGTGAATCAACATCTGGAATTTCGCTTTCTCTCTGTTTTGGAAAAACGGAGACAATTGTGGGCAGGGTGTTACCTTTGCCTGGGGACTCCGACATCTTGTTATCAGACGGTAAATCTCCTCTTGTATTATCTGGACTTCCGAGAGACGGTTCATTTTCTAATTTATTCTTCTTTCTGTCGAAGAAAAAATTATACGCCATACCTTTATTCACTTTTTCTGATTGTGTTTTTGACTGAGAACTATCTTCCTTAATGTGGCAAATGTCACTTGGTTTACTTTCTTCTTTTTTTATCTTGGGAAAATCTTTTTTCTTTTTTCTTAAGCTGCCCCAGGTAAACCGTTGTTTATCTTTGCTAGTCTCTGTTGGTATATAAAAGGTGCCGTATTTAGATTCTTCTTTCTCATCGCTTTGGCGGCATCGCTTGATTTCATCGACGTGTTTCATGTGGAGCTGTGAGAGTTGGCTGGCCTGAGCACGGCCTCTGATGACAAAAGACTCGCTGTCATCCTGCCAAGCTGTGAGTGAGTCTGAACATTCTCTGTCTTTGCCATCACAGCTGCTTGGACTTGATCTTGGACTAGCAGGGTAAAAACTATGCTCATCGTGTTGAACATCAGAAGGAGAATAAAGCTTTACCAGCCTTTTCCTTCCTGGATAATATTTGTGTTGTTTATTCTCTAATGACTGGCATTTGGCTGCGCAGCTCTGGTCTTCTGCCTCACTCTCATTACTGTAGAGAATTAACCTTTGACCTAACTTGTTTCTGGAGTGGTCATCTGATGACAAGAAGGAGATGGCTTCTACTGCCTCTTCCACAGATTCGGGGTCGGCTCTAAATTCGTCAGTGGACACTTCAAAACTGGAGGTGTACTCTACTACTTTTGTATCATGTTCCATCGCACAGGTTGACTCCTGCTCCGTCTCTAAGGCTAAATCCTCATTAGCAATGCTCGACTTTACATAATTTCTAAAAGAAATTTTGTCAAAACCACCTGTCTTACTGGACTTAAGTATCGGCATTCTTTGTGAAGACTCAGTTTGTGTTATTTGTCTTACTAGTTTACGCTGAGGTGCGGTGTACGGAGAAGAGTCTTTGCTGTCATCTTTTGTGTCCCTCCGTTCAGTATAGGTTAGTGGGGAGATGGGTGGTGTCAAGGCTCGTGGGGAGAGGGGTAGTGTCAAAGCTGGTGGAAGAGGGGTGGTGTCATCGGTCGTGGGGAGAAGGGTGGTGTCAGTGTGCTGTCTTCTGAGGCCTTGGAGTTGTTCTGAATTTGGGACTCTAGCAGAGTTAACTGCCGAGAGTCTCTATGCCCCCCTTTGTCTGCTGCAAAGGGAAGAACTATCGTTGGATCATGGATACTAGACACGGTGAAGGACTCAGAATCATCCTTGATCTGTACTGTGTCTACCTGGACAGTGTAGGTCAACACTGTCATGTCTTCCGCTTGTGGCTCGCTACACGAGCTTTGCACATTAGCACCTTCCTCTGTTGCCGTTTTTTCTCCATGTTGAATACTTTTCCTTTTATCTTGTAGTGCACTTCTACGTTCTTCGTATTTTTTCTTTTTTTCCAGTGATCTTAGGTCATCATCCAAGCTCCTGATCTTCTGCAGAAATTCATGCCTTAATTCATCGCACACTGACTGTCTTGTCTTTCTAGCTGTTCTTATAGGTTTGACACATATTTTGTTTCCCATCTTTACTGTTGCTTCTATATCAATCGTCGTTATCAGCTATTTCTTGATTTGGAGGTATATTTTTATTCGCATCAAAACTTTTGTCTTCTGTTTTCTCTTTCTGTACTTCGGTAACCTCAAGCATTTTTCTCTCAAAACAATCATCTGCAACTGAAGGCGATTTTTGTATTGGGTCGCCTTTGGATCTAGGGTCACCTTGTTTCGGTGGGTATAATCGCATCAGATCTTGCTGAATGAGAGATCCAATAGAGTTGGGGCGTGAAGACGTGGGTGAAGTTGGCAAAGACAAAGCTTGGATATGCTGATCAAACTGTTCCACCATTTTGTTAACAGGAGTTGAGAGCTCTGTCACGGGCGTGGCTGGAAGACTCAGCGAGAGGGTTGAACTTAAAGGCTCTGGTGTAATGTCACCCCCCACATCAGCTTTTATATTCAGAGTATCTTCGTCCTTTATATCATCATCTTTGGGATGAAGTGATGGCTCAGGTGTTGATTCATGAAATGTATCTTCGGTTTCAGGTATCAATTCTATATTTTTTTGAAATGGCTTATCTGTAGCGAGCCCGCTGGAGACTTCGGGACTCTGAGGTGCAGGATCTGTTATGTCCTTTAAACCCGAGCACATTTCCTTAAATGTCTGGTGCAAGAATGTTTTTCTTACGGTATCTCTTTTGGGACTTGGTGGACGCTCGAGCAATGCTTGTTGTTCCTGGATGCGTTGTGCAAAGTGTTCTATCATCCTGCACACGGAGGGTGTACGTGGCTCAGCCATATCTGTCGATGGTGACTGACTTGCCGAGTCTATGTCTATTAATCCTTCTCAATATCTTCCTCTGCACTTATTTTGCATATGTCAATCGGTTCAGTATTATCTTTTACAGGAAAGTTTTCTTTAATTTTTTCCTGAATATCTTTTGCATTTTGGGCTCTTTCTGTTTCCAAGTCAGTGTATTTTTCTTCCTCTTGGTTAAGAATAAGGCTCTTGCTTTCATCTTCAGTATCAGTTTTAAGATCTTTTATTGGACAAAACTGTTCTTGGTGTGAGAGAAGTTCCGATACTTCCATGTCTGCATCTGTTAGTGAAGATGACAGTGACGCTGACGTAAGTAACGTGAAGTCCTCTTGGGACACTAGGTTCTGCTTTTTCACATTAGTCTCTTCGATAACAGCGAACAGGTCTTCTTCCCAGCCAGTGCTATCCTCTTTTTCAGGTTCCCTTTTAGTAGGGGAACTGGGTGTTGTGGAGTCGGACTTACTGGTGGAAATAGTGTCGTCTTCATCTAGTTGTTGAGCTTCCATCATCAGACAACTTTCTTTTTCCGCTGACCTATGAGATTCTTCATTCTTTGGCTGATAAAGATTTGGAGAAGACCTTGGGGAAAATATGTTCTCTGGTAGATTTTCTTTCTGAGTGTCTGAAAGATCAGAAGCAGCTTCTGATTTACTAGTTATAAGCATCCCAACTTTTAGCTTTGTCTCTGGCTCAATCACTGCTGCCTCGCTTGGTGACTGATTGGAGTCTGGCGTTGGAGACTGCAAGGGGCCAACCTCTTTGTTTACATGAAGGGAAGGAGCCACATATTCTGGTTCATGCGGAATCTTTTTAGGAGTTTGTTTTAGGGCTGATTTCCAAGGTGGTGAAGGTAACTTCCTTGAATGTGGTTCTTTCTTATCCGTTAGATAATCAAATGAACTCCTCCGTCGAGCGCTATTGTTTGTGTCCGGTGTGTCGTTGTTAGGTCTGGTGGACGAGGACTCTGGCAGATTCATAGTGTCAGTATTGTCTGAGGAAAGTGAGAGTGAGGGCGGACTCTGGAAACGCTGGCTGACTGGCCTGAGATGGACCAGCCGTAGCTCCTCCTTCAATGGAGTGGAATGTTGCCGGTCGGCAGCACGTTGCAAGATAGGGCTCATGCTCAGTGTGTTCAGTCCTGCAAACAAGCTCCTGATAGGGGATATGTGGCCTTTTTTGTTACGAGGGCTGTCTGATGTGTCTACAGCTAGTGTCTTTTTTAAGTCGTACTTTTGATCTGAACTTGATACCGGGCTGCTTGCCTGCGTGTCTTTCGCTGTGCCACCCTCCAGATAGGAAAACTTGCTGCTTGCTACAGAGTGTGGTCTCGCCCTGCGTGGGAAGGTGCTCATGCCGCACTCCACTGCCTCATTTATCTCTCCATTTCTTTGTGTTCTGCTTTTGCTTCGGGTGATTCTTAATGAATTATAACTTTTATTCTGTATCTCATTTTGTTCCTCAGGGGTCAGACAACTGTCATGCAGGCTGTTACTTCTCTTAAATTTCCTCCCCGCATCTATTTCTTTATCCTTCGCTGCGAACGCTTTGGAGAACATCGACACCAGTTTTTTGACAGGGGTGCTTGGAGTAACAGTTTCTACAGTTTTTCGAGTTTCTGGGAAAGTCGAACGAGCAACAGTACCCCTTTCAAAAGCATTTGCCTTTTCTTTCACTACTTTTGTTTTCCTGGTCAGCTCAGGAGATACTGGAGCACTTTTAGTTGCAACTTTCTCTTGTTTAGTATCGCCTTGCAAGGCTTGTTGAATGCGGCGGCTGATGCCTTCCGGTATCTCATTATACGCACGGGATGTGGGCGTCTTCTTCTCCTTTATAAGGTTATGATGCTCCCAGAAATCAAATTCGGGCGACAGTAAAGGGCTCTTACAGCGTGTTGACACGTAAAGACTACGTGGCCTCATTCTGTTGCTGGTGCGTGGCCTTGAAGGTCGGTCATCACTCGTCGACGAGGGTTCAACAGTAGATGGAGAACGGGAGCCCTCGCGGCGATTTATGCTGCGACGTAGGCTACTGTCTGAGGTCGGCGACGCCGAGGACGGGTTTTGAGATAAGAAAATAAGGTTATCAACATAACGAGAGGCAGGGTCTATGTCATGATTTGGGGAGGTGGGCAGGGATTTAGGAGCCGGGTTTGTGGCAGCAGGAGCAGAAGCTCTGCGGGTACGTGCTAAGCGGCGCCACTCTAGTGTGTGCAGACGAGAGTCAACCATACTCACCATTCTCTTGTCTGCCTGGAACCTGAAAGGCACAATGTGGTTCAGTTGGCGAGTATAGTCGGAGAGCACCATATCATAAGCGTGACTTACGTTTTTAAACACTAGGACATTTTCTGGTTCCAGGGGTCTTCCGTCAAGCACGTGAAGATGATGAAGTAGCTCCGCCTGCAAAAAGTGTCTAAAAGTGGCCCAACGTCCAGTGATCATGAGGAGGGGATCAGGAGCTCTGTTACACTTGAGACTTTTGAGGCAGGTTTCGCGTGCCTGTTGGTCACTACGCCAGTCTAGACAGAGGGACCACACGCGATGGTGTGTCAGTAGCCGCGAGTACATGTTGTCTGTCCGCAGAAAGCCACCAAAGTGTTGCAACACGTACGGTGTTCCTAACAGGTCTGCATGAATACCCGTGGCGATCCTGTCAAACTTGCCCTTCAATAACGCAGTGTTTGCAGCCAGTTCACGAACATCTGCTCTGATAAAAGTAATTAGTACTTGACTGGATCGCAGAAGTTTGTAGCTCGCCCTGGAAAATACTTGAGTGAGATATATACGATACATTTCAACAACATTGCTTTCTTTTTTAACATTGCGAGATAAAATGAGAAAGTCCCAATCTTGGAATATCATATCGATGCCGTGAGGCGCATAAATCATGTCATCATCAACCGTTACTGCCTTTATCCACTCTGTCTCCTCCGACCATTTTGGACTCACGTCCTCAAATTTTTCGAGATACTCGCGCCTCAGAGGACTGAAGCAAGCCAAGGTGACGTTTGGGAAGTTCCCTCCTCGGCTCTTCTTCATTGAACCTCTCTTTATCCAGTCAGTTACTGCTTTGTGATGTTCCCGAGGGCAAGACTTGATGTAGCGGGCCAGCACTTCTTTGATCATTTTACCCGAAACCTTGAGGGTGCGCACGTTCTCCAGCTTTTGTAGAGCCGAGGGGTCGTTGGCGAAGCTCATCCAGCCGCTCCAAACTGATTGTACAAGTGTGTAGGTCCCAGCGTCCACCAGCACCTGCGGTATAAGACTTTATTATATCACACACATCATCATATTTTTCCTTTACTTATGGTGAGCAGCATTATGTAATATGCATGGTAACATCGGCCATTCTCAGTAAAGTTGGGTGATGCTGTCTACCATCCTATCCTGCTTAGACAAATGGCGAGTTTTACCTATTGTGGTGAAGGGAGAGGAGTATTCTGACTTGTGGTGTCTCGTAAGATGTAAATGAAATATTAGTTTAAAAATAATTCCCTAATTAAGAAGGCTTTATGATGATTTTAAGGTAAAATGGTAAAACAAACTTCACCAGAGCCTTTGTTTGCATAGTGGCTGGGAGCACCTGGTCAAATCATGGATAAGCCTTTATATCAAACAACAGCAACAAAGAGAAAATGAGCAGACTGATGGACAGAACCAAAGTAGAGAGAACTGAGAGATAGAGTAAAGAAAATCAAAATTTGATAAGTGAAATAGAAGTAATGAAAAAATCTCAAGAACACATGAAAAAAATATTACAAGAGTTAGATGGAGAAATAATCGGGAAAAAACAGTTTACAAAGAGAAGGATATAAAACCAGAAGATAGTTCAGCAAAACTAAATGAGCAGGTGCAGCTAGCTCATATCACAAAAAAAAGTCAACAAACATTTTGAAAAACAAGCAGAACAGCAGGCTGCAGTGCTGAAGAAATTATAGTTATGGCTAATATTAATCTTGAAATGAAAAAGAAAGTTCTAAAATAATTCTAAATTAATCGGGGTAAATTGTGAACAGAGCAAAGACTGTTGTTTCTCTATGTGGTGAAAAAAGAACTCGATTGATATCATAATGATATAAAGAGGAAGAAAATCACATTAGTGAGATGACCGAGTGTTTACAGAATTTTAGTATTCAAGATTATGTAGTGAGATGAAGAAGTGGAAAGTAATAGAAAGAGAAAAACAGGAAAGTAATAGAAAGAGAAAAACAGGAAAGTAATAGAAAGAGAAAAACAGGAAAGTAATAGAAAGAGAAAAACAGGAAAGTAATAGAAAGAGAAAAACATGAAAGTAATAGAAAGAGAAAAACAAGAAAGTAATAGAAAAAAAAACAGGAAATTGAAAATAACATTCACATATGTTAAGCATAAGGAAGAACTGCTGAAAATAACATAAATATATTGGAAGGTTTATTATAAAGACAGATTAGAAATGTGTAACACTTGCGTATCTCTAATGAGGAAACGTTTCGCCACACAGTCGCTTCATCAGTCCATACAAAGGAGAATGGTGAAGAACAGAAGAAGTTTGAGGTAATCAGTCCCTCAATCTAATCAGTCCCTCAATGTAATCAGTCCATCAATCTTGAAAAGAAGATGGACTGATTACATCGACTCAAGGCTGAGGGACTGATTACCTCAAACTTCTCCTGCTCTTCACCATTCTCCTTTGTATGGACTGATGAAGCCACTGTGTGGCGAAACGTTTCCTCATTAGAGATACCCAAGTGTTACACATTTGTCTAATTTATGAACTTGTCGGTTCTCTGAACTATTCATCTACATTATAAAAAGACTATCAGTTATAGAGAAGACCTTTCGAAAGAGGCCAAGGTGAAGGTGGAGGACACTATGCACTGTTACGATATTAAATGAGGATTTAGGTATGGAAAAAAGTTATCTCAGAGAGTAACGGAGTCATACCAACCTGTAAAATGGCTTCTCAAAGAAGAAGCGAATATAGGATAATTAGTAACCAGAGTAAAATATTGTTTTTTTTTATTAACACACCGGCCGATTCCCACCAAGGTAGGGTGGCCCGAAAAAGAAAACTTTCATCATCATTCACCCCATCACTGTCTTGTCAGAGGGGTGCTTTACACTACAGTTATAAAACTGCAACATTAACACCCACCTCCACCTTCAGAGTGAAGACACTGTACTTCCCATCTCCAGGACTCAAGTCCGGCCTGCCGGTTTCCCTGAATACCTTCATAAATGTTACTTTGCTCACACTCCAACAGCACGTCAAGTATTAAAAACCATTTGTCTCCATTCACTCCTATCAAATGCGCTCACGCATGCTCGCTGGAAGTCCAAGCCCCTCGCACACAAAACCTCCTTTACCCCCTCCCTCCAACCTTTCCTATGCCGACCCCTACCCCGCCTTCCTTCCACTACAGATTGAGTAAAATATATGAAAATAAAAAGGGAAACAATTAGACAAACACGTTCGTTAATTTTTATGTACTAACACAGATTCAGTAATTTAAAAAATAGAGCTAAGGGACATTATAAATAAGAAACCTGGGATACGTTTTCCTGTGTTCCTTGACGAGTGAATCTTCACTTGATTCTAAACAGTTAAACACGTAAATAATGGTAAAAATTTTAAAATAAAAAATTGCATGTATAGTTAAAGAGTACCTGCTGACGCATCTCTTGGAGGAAGGTCTTGTGGGTCATGTTGAGTAAGTTGTGTAGAGTGTTGCAGAGGAGGGCGTGGGTCTCCATATCCAGACACAGAGAGTAAAATACCATCACCACCTGCACCAACACAACACACCTTAATTCACACAATTTCTAAATATAAGCCAGTCTAAGCCTCTATATGTAATTATGTCTAAGCATCCATAAATAATTTCAGGCCTTCATATGGAATTTCTAAGTAAGAGTAAAAATTTTAGGAACAATTTACAAATGCAATTATATTAATAATTATGTTTTAGTAATTATACTTAATTTTCCTACATAATTTTCCAATAACTCCCTAATACAAGTTTCAATTATTTATAACGAAAACGTTATGAATGGAAATATTTCAAAAGAGAGTAATTTGTTTTTGCAGTAAGTCAGACCAATAAAATAAACTGGAATTTGTATTGCCAGTAATGTGGAATCATAATAAAGCAATATTAATTGCATAAACTTAAAACTTATGGTTTCCTTTCAAGGAGCGTGAATTGATGTCGGGAAGGGCTCTTGATTTAAGGATGTGGAGCTACCCTTCCTTTCCATTGATCAAACCTGATTATCTACTATTCCCCAGGCATTCTATGACCCCAGCAGGTTTAACGCTGCTCCATGGAAATGATAGCTTATTTATATAATTTTGTATGACATTGTGGAGATTCAATGGTAGATATTTCTTGGTATGTCACAGGGAAAGAGAATACCTTGTGACGTTTAACTGATTAGTATATGGGGGATACACAGTGCGTGCTTTTTTTTCAACACCATAAAACAATCTAAACGCTCTCAGGATGTTTCAGTCACATTGAAGACATGATTGATGCATAACGAGTGTTTGAAATCTCTTTGGTTTTGTTATGGGATTATCAGCTGTGTTCTAACTAGTGTACGATTGGTCTGGTTATTTTTGTACAAAATAGCCAGACCAATCTTACCAGTCAGAACACTGCTCATTATCCCTCAACAGTCTTTTGTACCAATCTTACCAGTCAGAACACTGCTCATTATCCCTCAACAGTCTTTTGTAAGTATTTCACTGTGGCCAGATTTTGTTACAGGTTAGGTTAGGTAAGGTTTGTCAGGAAACATGACAAGTGTTTCCTGACGCGGGTCTTAGCTGTATGATGACCCACAACTGGAGCTTTTGGTCATCTGACCGAGGCCTTCCGCTAATTTTGTTACAATTAGATTGAATAATTAAGCAGAAGATTTATTATTATTCTTAGCAGTAATATGAATAATTAAGCAGAAGATTTATTATTATTCTTAGCAGTAATACTATTAGTATTAATTATTATTATTATTATGATGATGATGATGTACAGGTAAGAGCTAAATCCTTAGGGGTTATACAATGTATGAACAGAATATTTGTAATGAGAGGAGAAATAATATACGACCTTCTCAGCGTGGGCTTGGACGAGGGCGGGGTCTTGTAGAGGGTCATGAGCGTCTGGCAGCATCAACAGGTATAAAATCAGCAGGTCCCGGGCCAGAATATGAGGGCTGGAATCCACGAGCACCATCTCCAGCGGCTGTCAAACACCAGAACGATTAATACCATAATTTGTTCTGGTATTATGAGATAGTGAAATAATTTGTCCTGGTAGAATGCAATAAAATAAAACGTTCACTGTATGCTACAGTAACTAAGGGGATGATACTGATCATTAGGTAGGTAGAAGTCGCATTAACAGTATTTTGGTATATTACTGAGCCTCTCTTATTTTAATGGGGTGTAAAACCTACATCTGATAGGCTAGACAGGACCACACACTAGAACATGATCAGATTATTCAAAGGTTCAACTATTTAGAGATAAACCCAAACAAACCGTACAGATAGATTTACCTGTGTACAAGCGTCCGGGGTATCGTGGAGAATGCAGAGGACGTGTTTAAGATCAGCGCCTAGCAGGAGGAGCCGCAGCATCTCCTGGGCCAGCCCGTTCTCCTTCCTTCCATTTCTACTATCCTTACTCGCCTCACTTCCACTGTCACTAGTCTGCTCCTGAGGGTCAGTTGGGGTTACTCATACCATTCCAGATACACATGATCAATATTAAAGATGAAATACATGGATAAAGTATCATGAATTAAAAGTAGTAAATACTACAACCACTGTCAATTTAAAATAATATGCGATGAAATAATTAATGAAAACGGGACGCCACGAGCATAGCTCTCTGTAGTTGCACATAAGAATTACTTATATGTAATTACAGAAAATGTATAGAATCAATGGCTACTAAATGAAATATTACATTGTTCCTTGAAACTTTTTTATATATATAAGCAAAAGTTCAGCTATGCTGTAATTGAGTGCAACATGATATTTAAATGATTAATCGATACACATTCAATTCAATTCAATTCAGGTTTATTCTCTATAATGGTTACAATGTGGGGTTTACAGGTTTTGGGTATTTTGTGGTTTACATGTTATAAAATACTAATTACAGAGGGGGCCACTAGGACACCTAGCATGGCTAGGCATTTCCAGCAGACTTAGATTAATTCTTTACATTAAGTCCTTACAGATTATAGTATTAAGGCTAAGTGACTACATCATAATTTGTGAGTTTAGCCATGTGAATGCTTTTGTTTTGGCACAATACAAGGTGTCTATATTTCAGTAACATAGGCAAACTTATGACTAGTTAGGATTTATTATTTTAAGATTAAGATTAGTATTTCTGGGTTTATAGTCAGTGGGTGAGTGAGTGTAATTTTGAACCACCAGGTGGTTATCATGTAGTTAGTTGTCGGGGTGGATCAGGGAGATAAGATGTTTTCTAACTGTAGTTTTTTAAGTGATGAATGTGTCTGCAGTTCTATAGTTTTCAGGTAAGGTGTTCCAGATTTTAGGTCCTTTGAAATACATTGAATTTTTGTAAAGGTTTAGTCGAACACGGAGAATGTCATAGAGATGTTTGTGTCTGGTGTTATGCCTGTGGATCCTGTCACAACTATCAAGAAAGCGTTTTAGGTCAAGGTTAATATTGGAATTTAAGGTCCTTTAGATATAGATTGCACAGTAGTAAGTGTGGATGTTCTGAACAGGAAGTAAGTTTAGATCTATGAAGAGTGGGGGGGGGAGGGTGTTGCCAGGGATGGGATTGAGTGATTATTCTTACTGCGGCTTTTTGTTGGGTTATTATTGGCTTTAGGTGTGTTGCTGCAGTTGAACCCCAAGCACAGATAGCATAGGTGAGGTATGGATATATAAGTGAATGTATAGTGTGAGAAGAGCAGTTTGCGGTACGTAGTATCGTATCTTGGAGAGGATCCCAACCGTTTTGGATACTTTTTTTATGTGTTGGATATGGGTGCTGAAATTTAGGTTGTTGTCGAGGTATAGGCCAAGGAATTTGCCCTCATTATGTCTGGCAATTAGAGTGTTGTCGATCTTAATGTTAAGTTGCGCAACACCTGCTCTGCTACCAAACATAATATAGTAGGTTTTGCCAGTGTTAAGTGTAAGTTTATTGGCTGTCATCCAAGTCGATATTTTGAGCAGCTCCTCGTTAATAATGGTGTTGAGGGTGGCAAGATTAGGGTGGGAGATGACATAAGTCGTGTCGTCAGCAAAGAGAATGGGTTTCAGGTGTTGGGATATGTTTGGAAGATCATTGATGTAAATGAGGAAGAGCAAGGGTCCAAGGACACTTTTCCCTGCGGAACTCCAGTATCAAGTGGCCGGATTGATGAGGCTGTGTCTTTAATGGTGACATACTGATACCTATTAGAAAGGTAGGATTTAAAATATGCAAGCGCATGCCTCTTATACCATAGTGGTCAAGTTTGTGGAGTAGGATGCCGTGGTCTACTGTGTCAAACGCTTTTCTTATGTCAATAAAAATTCCTAGCAATATCCTAACAAGTAGTGAGTCACAAGCATGGGTACTTTCGGTGCATATCATTCCTTTTAAAATAGAGATCGCAGAGCATATACCAATTACTACTTGATATTTTGGTTAAGTTTTTGGCTAATAAGTATGTAAAGCTGTGCTTATAAATGTTTATCGGTTTAACTGGAAGAAGGAAAGAGTATCTAAATTTATGTGATAAAACAGCACTTCATTAGAATGAAGGAATCTTCCCCCTCTCCCCCAGAAAGGTCGTTACATGTTGAGGACACCCAGGATGCTGCAACACTATAATGTATCTGACGTATATTGGTTCTGCGAAAAATCGAAATACCAATGTTAAATATTAAAAATATTGTATACAGATTTTCCAGCATGATAAGGTTTCCATCAGGTCTCCAGCCAAATATATTTAGGCAGTTATATATGCTAGCAGTACACTGGTGTGTGTGTGTGTTTGTGTGTTTAGTGAAAGCGAACTGAACATTTAATTTTTAATGTGAGGTGGAAAACCTTTCATCATATATATGAACTTTAATCTTTTATGGGAGATACTGGTACGCCAGAGGAAGGCCTCGGTCCAATTACCAAAAGCTCCAGTGAGCGGGCCATAACATAACACCCCGCGTCAGGAATTTTCACATTTCTTGTGTCAGACAAAATACCACCGGTGGCAGTGGTGGTTTGGTGATACTAATTAAAATTGCTAACAACTCTAATTTATGTCATTCTTTGAGTTTGCTAACTTGTTCTACATTTAATAATGCGTGAACAAATAATAAAAACATAGGTGATAAGAAACTAAATAAATGTGTAAAAATAATTTAAATAAGGGGAGCAGTATCCATAGATTTAACAACCAAAGCTAAGACATCTATACATAATAGACAAAATGGAATGGGCGCATAATAAAACTTGTTGATAAAAGAAATTAAAAAGAAAAGTTTCTGTGAACTAGTTATGAGTTATATAACAAGAAACACGTTACATGCGCATATGTAAGAGTTGATTTAGAAGTGTACCTTGTGTTGTGGGGAGTGCGTCGCCGCCAGTATCCTCGCCCCCTCATTCTCACTCCACCTATGGGAAATAAATGCTCATATATATATATATATATATATATATATATATATATATATATATATATATATATATATATATATATATATATATATATATATATATATATGTCGTGCCGAATAGGCAGAACTTGCGATCTTGGCTTAAATGGCAACGCTCATCTTGCCATATAAGACAAATGAAAATTTGTGTATGCAATAATTTCGCCAAAATCATTCTGAACCTAACGAAAAAAATATATTTGATTGTGTTTGTTTAGTACTAAATTATTGTAAACGTATTTAAAATATATTTAGTTGGGTTAGGCTAAAATAAATTGATCTTGTTATAATAAGGTTAGGTAAGTTTTCTAAGATTCTTTTGGTGCAAAATTAAAATTTTTACATTAACATTAATGAAAAAAATATATCTTTAAACGTATAAGAGAAAATTTTAGAAAGAACTTAATTTTAAATGAGTTCTTACTAATTGACCAGTTTTACATATTCGGCACGACATATATATGTATATATATATATATATATATATATATATATATATATATATATATATATATATAAAATATATATATATATTATATATATATATATATATATATATATATATATATATATATATAATATATAATATATATATTATATATATATATATATATACACGTTAATAACATTTTCAGTTAATAACAGTTTTTTTTTTTTTTTTTTTTAAATTTTGGGACCCTGAGAACAAGTCTTGGAGAGGGCCTGGGGACCATGAAAGGGTTAAATGTCGTATATTACGTTAATATAGACATTTCCTTTAATCCATCTATGGTATTTTTTTCAAAATTATGTAATAAACATGCTACGTAACATATAAACATGATACATGCACCCACAGTATAAAAATTGACATGAATATGAGATTTGTTTACCAAGCGGTTTGTAGGAGTGTCGGAAGAATTACATTTCTGTAGTCAAACACCAGTTACTTAACTGTAGAAAAATATTCCTTTCGTATGCTTTCACTCTATCTATAGCTATTCATGACCCTTGTGGGTTTAGAGCTTCTTTTTTATTATGATTATAATAATAATAGGTAATATATAGGTAGTAGGTTGGTAGACAGCAACCACCCAGGGAAGTACTACCGTCCTGCCAGATGATTGTGAAACAGAAACCTGTAACTGTTTTGCATGATGGTAGGATTGCTGGTTTTCTTTTTCTGTCTCATAAACACGCTAGATAACAGGGATATCTTGCTACTCCTACTTACACTTTGGTCACACTTCACAGACATGCACATGCATATATATATATACATACATCTAGGTTTTTCTCCTTTTTCTAAATAGCTCTTGTTCTTCTTTATTTCTTCTATTGACCATGGGGAAGTGGAAAAGAATCTTTCCTCCGTAAGCTATGCGTGTCGCATGAGGCGACTAAAATGCCGGGAGCAATGGGCTAGTAACCCCTTCTCCTGTAGACATTTACTAAAAAAGAGAAGAAGAAAAACTTTATAAAGTGAAAGTTTTTCTCTTTCGGGCCACCCTGCCTTGGTGGGAATCGGCCAGTGTGATAATAAAAAAAATAATATATATATATATATATATATATATACCTGGAGTTACCTGGAGAGAGTTTCGGGGGTCAACGCCCCCGCGGCCCGGTCTGTGACCAGGCCTCCTGGTGGATCAGCGCCTGATCAACCAGGCTGTTGCTGCTGGCTGCACGCAAACCAACGTACGAGCCACAGCCCGGCTGATCAGGAACTGTCTTTAGGTGCTTGTCCAGTGCCAGCTTGAAGACTGCCAGGGGTCTGTTGGTAATCCCCCTTATGTGTGCTGGGAGGCAGTTGAACAGTCTCGGGCCCCTGACACTTATTGTATGGTCTCTTAACGTGCTAGTGACACCCTGCTTTTCATTGGGGGGATGGTGCATCGTCTGCCAAGTCTTTTGCTTTCGTAGTGAGTGATTTTCGTGTGCAAGTTTGGTACTAGTCCCTCTAGGATTTTCCAGGTGTATATAATCATGTATCTCTCCCTCCTGCGTTCCAGGAATACAGGTTTAGAAACCTCAAGCGCTCCCAGTAATTGAGGTGTTTTATCTCCGTTATGCGCGCCGTGAAAGTTCTCTGTACATTTTCTAGGTCGGCAATTTCACCTGCCTTGAAAGGTGCTGTTAGGAGTGCAGCAATATTCCAGCCTAGATAGAACAAGTGACCTGAAGAGTGTCATCATGGGCTTGGCCTCCCTAGTTTTGAAGGTTCTCATTATCCATCCTGTCATTTTTCTAGCAGATGCGATTGATACAATGTTATGGTCCTTGAAGGTGAGATCCTCCGACATAATCACTCCTAGGTCTTTGACGTTGGTGTTTCGCTCTATTTTGTGGCCAGAATTTGTTTTGTACTCTGATGAAGATTTAATTTCCTCATGTTTACCATATCTGAGTAATTGAAATTTCTCATCGTTGAACTTCATATTGTTTTCTGCACCCCACTGAAAGATTTGGTTGATGTCCGCCTGGAGCCTTGCAGTGTCTGCAATGGAAGACACTGTCATGCAGATTCGGGTGTCATCTGCAAAGGAAGACACGGTGCTGTGGCTGACATCCTTGTCTATGTCGGATATGAGGATGAGGAACAAGATGGGAGCTAGTACTGTGCCTTGTGGGACAGAGCTTGTCACCGTAGCTGCCTCGGACTTTACTCTGTTGACGACTACTCTCTGTGTTCTGTTAGTGAGGAAATTATAGACCCATCGACCGACTTTTCCTGTTATTCCTTTAGCGCGCATTTTGTGCGCTATTACGCCATGGTCACACTTGTCAAAGGGCCCTTTTGCAAAGTCTGTATATATTACATCTGCATTCTTTTTGTCTTCTAGTGCATTTAGGACCTTGTCGTAGTGATCCAGTAGTTGAGACAGACAGGAGCGACCTGTTCTAAACCCATGTTGCCCTGGGTTGTGTAACTGATGGGTTTCTAGATGGGTGGTGATCTTGCTTCTTAGGACCCTTTCAAAGATTTTTATGATATGGGATGTTAGTGCTATTGGTCTGTAGTTCTTTGCTGTTGCTTTACTGCCCCCTTTGTGGAGTGGGGCTATGTCTGTTGTTTTTAGTAACTGAGGGACGACCCCCGTGTCCATGCTCCCTCTCCATAGGATGGAAAAGGCTCGTGATAGGGGCTTCTTGCAGTTCTTGATGAACACAGAGTTCCATGAGTCTGGCCCTGGGCAGAGTGCATGGGCATGTCATTTATCGCCTGTTCGAAGTCATTTGGCGTCAGGATAACATCGGATAGGCTTGTGTTAGTCAAATTTTGTGGCTCTCTCATAAAAAATTCATTTTGGTCTTCGACTCTCAGTCTGGTTAGCGGCTTGCTAAAAACTGAGTCATATTGGGACTTGAGTAGCTCACTCATTTCCTTGCTGTCATCTGTGTAGGACCCATCTTGTTTAAGTAGGGGCCCAATACTGGACGTTGTTCTCGATTTGATTTGGCATAGGAGAAGAAATACTTTGGGTTTCTTTCGATTTCATTTTGGCTTTTAGTTTTTTCCCGCGATTCCTGACTCCTAAAGGATTCTTTTAGCTTAAGTTCGATGCTTGCTATTTCTCTGACCAGTTTTCTCCCTGCGCATTTCAGATATATTGACCTCTTTTAGCCGCTCTGTTATTCTTTTCCGTCGCCTGTAAAGGGAGCGCCTGTCTCTTTCTATTTTACCATCTATTCCTCCTTTTCTTAGAGGAATAAGCCTTGTGCATACATCGAGTGGCCACCGAGTTAATCTGTTCTAGGCATAAGTTTGGGTCTGTGTTGCTTAGTATAAACTTCCCAGCTTATATCGGTTAGGACTTGGTTTACTTGGTCCCACTTTATGTTTTTGTTATTGAAGTTGAATTTGGGGAATGCTCCCTCATGACTAGTCTCATTTTGTCGGTCTGGGGCTCCATGCATACATGTCTGAACCTCAATTATGTTGTGATCTGAGTATATTGTTTTTGATATGGTGACATTTCTTATCAGATCATCATTGTTAGTGAAGATGAGGGCTAGTGTATTCTCCAGTCTTATAGGCTCTATTATTTGCTGGTTTAAATTGAATTTTTGTGCAGAGATTTAAAAGCTCGTGTGAGTGTGAGTTTTCATCAGAGCTGCCTCCTGGTGTTATTTCTGCAACAATATATTTGCTATATTCCTCCATTTTAGGTGCCTTAAGTTGAAATCCCCCAGAGCAAGATGTTGGGTGCAGGAGCTGGAAGATTTTCCAGACAGTGGTCAATTTTTAACAGCTGTTCCTGGAATTGCTGGGATGTTGCATCCGGAGGCTTGTAGACTACCACAATGACTAGGTTTTGGTTCTCGACCTTTACTGCTAAAACTTCCACTACGTCATTTGAGGCATTAAGCAGTTCTGTGCAAACAAGTGACTCTGCAATGTACAGGCCAACCCCCCCTTTTGCCTGTTCACTCTGTCACATCTGTATAGGTTGTAACCTGGGATCCATACTTCGTTGTCCAAGTGATCCTTTATGTGGGTCTCAGTGAAAGCCGGCGAACATTGCCTTTGCCTCTGCAAGCAGTCCACGGATGAAAGGTATTTTGTTGTTTGTAGCTGGCTTAGACCCTGTATATTTGCAAAGAAGAATGTTATCGGACTGGTGGTATTGTTGGTACTGGGGGGGATTTTTTTTTCCGGCATTAGTATCTGTATCTGTTGGTTTGGAGTGAGGCCATCGACTGTGGTTCCACTCCAGGAATGACTGGATTTGGTGTACGATTTCTGCCATTTCCTGCCAGTTTTTTTTCCTTCCTGGCACTAAAAACCTCTCCCTCTTGAGTGGCTGTGGCTACCCAGGTTTTCCCCTGGCCTGGATGTTTTGTATCTTTTTGTCCCCTTTAGATGGTATGCCTGGCAATTAAGTTATAGCACAGTCTTTCCTGTACTGAAGAGGTACACATTTCAGGGTGAAAAAGCTTACAGGAAGGGAGTTTGCATTTTCCTGTTTTCATATGGGCATGGCATTTTCTAGGGTGGTCATAGTTGCATGTCCCATCTGTTTTTCCAGATTTCCCATGCCAGCAGATACCAAGTGCATAGTATGTGCACAGGCTTGGTTTCCGCTTGCCTTGGGTTTCTGTGACTGTATTCCTGTTGGTGCATGTTTCCCTGTCTTACTTCTATCCTCCCTAGCACCAACAATGGAGCTCCCACCAGTTGTTTTTGGTAATTTATCCTCACTATTGCTATTGGAGTCCTCTTGTTTGCTATTTCCTGCGGTATTTCTAGTTTGCAATATTGGTTTATCTTATCTTTGACTACACTTGTTTTCCCTACTATGGCTCCTGTCCCCTATGAGGTCATTTATATGTATTCCTTCCTGCGTATAATCCCGACTCCCTGGACAATATCTCCAGCTTCACCATTTCTGTCTCCCAGGACAGTATCTCCAGCTTCACCATTTCTGTCTCCCAGGACAGCACTCCAGCATTCACCATTACTGTCTCCCAGGACAGTATCTCCAGCTTCACCATTTCTGTCTCCCAGGACAGCACCTCCAGCTTCACCATTTCTGTCTCCCAGGACAGTATCTCCAGCTTCACCATTTCTGTCTCCAGGACAGCACCTCCAGCTTCACCATTACTGTCTCCCAGGACACCTCCAGCTTCACCATTACTGTCTCCCAGGACAGCACCTCCAGCTTCACCATTACTGTCTCCCAGGACAGCACCTCCAGCTTCACCATTACTGTCTCCCAGGACAGCACTATCAGCCCCACATTTACTGACTACCAGGACATCACCTCCAGCCTTACAGTTTATGACTACATGGCCAGTATCAAGGGCAGTACCATTCAGCCCAGACATTTTATGTTCCCATCTGTTGTAGAAAGCTTCCAGGTTTTCTATGAAAGCAGCTTTGATGTTGTCCTCTTTTAATACCCTTGTGATTTTAGTCCACAGTTTTTCCTCATTTGAGCATACCCAAAACACTTCTCTGTTTTAATACTGCTTGTAGCTAGTTCTGGATATCTGCACAAGGGGCGTGACACCAATTTCCACAAAAAATGACAATTTATCCATGTGGAAGCCCGTTTGTTTGACTGACCACAGACTACACAGGGCTTCATAATGATTTGAATGGTTGATTTACTGCAATTCTACTAGCAACCTCTTGAAAATTCTATTAATAACCTTAAATGAAGCTCTAGCTATTTGTATTTCTGTTTCTAACTCTTTTTGTATATTGGACAGCTTACCGTCACGTTCCTGATTTTTAATGTTGTGTTTATAGGGCGCCTACAACCCCATCCGTTTACAGTCTGCTTTATTGTCCAACGAAACTGTTGAAACCAGTCCCGGGTTCGGACCAGTCAAGGGTTCGGACCAGGCAAGGGTTCGGGCCAGTCGATCTGCTCTGATCAGTGGGTCACTTATTTAAAACATACTGGTCGGTGATTTGAGCTAACACATGAAGGATCTACTGGAAATTATCTACCGAGTAATATGTGATTTGACTGATACAAAAGTATAACTTGCGTGTTGAAGAGCCGGTGATATCTGCAGCTCCTACAATGACGAACGGTCACCTCCTTGTTTATCAATCGCTGTATCTGGCTTTTCTCTTTTTTTTTTTTTTTTTTTTTTTTCTTTTTTCCGTCTCCACCACAATAAATGCTATATTATCACTATAGTTGACTGGTGCAAATTTTGGGAGGAAGAGACGCTTTTTCTGTAGTATAATTGCTTCTCGTTGTGTATATTGCGACTGCTGGTAACTACAGGTTATATGAAATTCACATTAACGTCTCGTATTTCAAGAAAAAGAAACTAATGAAAGTCACTCCACTCCACTAAGTACCATTATAATACTGGTTAGTTGCTACTACAACACTGTATTCTGCTAATCACTGGTATCACTAGATTATATGCGATACACTGGCAAGCCAGGAAGATTATTAAAAAACAGCTGACCTGTGTAAGTTCTGGCGACTTCTGGCACCTGCCTCTATAGCTTATCACTTCATTTACAAATTCACCTGTTTTCAAATGACACTTTAGCCTTTATCATCAATATACTAGGGAGCCACTGTAGTATACACTATACACTATGTATACTCAATGTTATCAGGGAGACTTTCTTTCCTCTGACATGAAAAGTTCAATTATTATTTTTTTTCCACACGGGACAGGCCTATGATTCCCCTCTGGCAGTAAACTCTGCTAGTGCACACTAATTCTCCTTTTTTGACTCAGTATATAATGTTTTCCGCCCAAGATTTGTCCAGGCGCTAGAGGGATGTATCGTATAGGATTGATGACACAAATTAAAGTTCTAGCACGTAAGAGCGACCGTGAAAACACGAAAAACCCGGAGCACAACGAGGCACGCAACTAATGTATATATATATATATAAATATATATATATATATATATATATATATGTATATATATATATATATTATATATAAATATATATATATAATATATATATATATATATATATATATATATATATATATATATATATATATATATGTCTGTCGTGCCGAATAGGCAGAACTTACGATCTTGGCTTAAATAGCAACGCTCATCTTGCCATATAGGACAAACGAAAATTTGTGTATGCAATAATTTCGCCAAAATCATTCTGAACCTAACGAAAAAAAATATATTTCATTGTGTTTGTTTAGTATTAAATTATTGTAAACAAATCTTAAATATATTTAGTTGGGTTAGGCTAAAATAAATTGTTGTTGTTATAATAAGGTTAGGTAAGTTTTCTAAGATTCTTTTGTAGCAAATTTAAAAAATTTTACATTAACACTAAAGAAAAAAATATATCTTTAAACGTATAAGAGAAAATTTTAGAAAGGACTTAATTTTAAATGAGTTTCTTCCTAATTGACCAGTTTTACATATTCGGCACGACATATATATATATATATATATATATATATATATATATATATATATATATATATATATATATATATATATATATAATATATATATATATATATACATATATATATATATAATATATATATATATATATATATATATATATATATATATATATATCATAATCAGTCGTACATTTGTGATTGTCGTTAAATTTGCCATTAGGTTGTAGTCTTGTTTACAAATGAAGCATGTACAAAACATTATACCAGTTATCGACTTTTTAATGTTTTATTAATTTGATAAGTTTTGTAAGTAAATAAGTAATGAGACTTTCTTTGGGTAATATTTTCTAACAAGAAATTCACCTAGAAATAAATATTTACTTAGGTGTTTGAATTGACTGTTTCGAATCGCGTCATAACGATGCTAAATATACCTTACATATAAAGGAACTTTGGTATGAGCTGAGATAGGATAACTCTTAGCTCTTCAGTTGAAGCATGTAACTTACCTGAGGTAGTCGACAGCATGTATGAGTCTTCCCAGGTACTGAGGAATGCCTTTGGCTCGACGGTTCCACTCGTTGATCTTCTTGGCAGCCTCCACCACCTGCCACCAAGGTTGACACTCGCACAAATGCCTCTTTCATTATATTACTACTACTTCTGTCACTGCTTTAAATGTAGTAAACTTTATAGTTTCGTAAGAATAGGTTTATAGTTGAGAAATTTACACCTGTGTAAAATTAAATTCGTGGGGTGGTGCTAAACCTGCAAGGGTAATACAACTCCATAGGAATAGAATGTAATTAGGTTTGATCCTAAGGAAAGCAATTCCAGTTCCTTGGAACAAGAGTCCTACACCAACATAAAGATCTCCCATCCCAGTTAAGATTCATTTGACATTAAAAAATATGGAAGATAAAAAAAAACTTCAGCGGAGGTGCGTTGATGCCGGTTAAGATCTCTTGTTCCAAGGAATTGTAGTTGTCCTTCCCTTGTGTCGAATCTAATTGCCTCCCATTTCCGAAGAGCTGTATGACCCCTACGGGTTTGGGACTCCCCATTAATGTGATGATAATGAGAGCAAACATTCTTAAATACAATATGAAAGATAAATGTTGGGTGGTGGTGGTGGTGCCAGAGCCTTGCACGTGGGAGTATTTATAGGCTTTGTAGTCAGAGTGATCTATAGGTGTATAAACTGTATGTATAGGCATTAATGTGGGAGTTAGCTTCAGTATAGTCTGGTATTTGTTGGGATACACCTACGGTGGCCGTTCTGGCCTGATGTGGTGTGGCAGAAGCTTAAATATATTCATATTAGTCGTATGTCTGTTATTTGTAAAATAAAGTCAGGTTACAATATTGATAATTGTGTGACATTTTAAGTCTGATAAGTAAATAATCTAACGAAGCGTCAATAAATTATAAATAAATGTCATTAGTATATATTATCTTTGCTTCTGACAGACATAGCCCCACTCTACAAAGGTGGCAGTAAAGCAATTGCAAAGAACTACAGACCGATTGCACTAACATCCCATATCATAAAAATCTTTGAAAGGGTTCTAAGAAGCAAGATCGTCAACCACCTTAATATCCATCAGTTACACAACCCAGGGCATCACGGGTTCAGAGCAGGTCGTTCCTCCCTGTCCCAGCTACTGGACCACTATAACAAGGTCCTGGATGCTATAGAGGATATATAAAATACGGATGCAGTATACACAGACTTTGCGAAAGCTTCGACAAGTGCGACCATGGTGTAATAGCGCACAAAATGCGTGATAAAGGAATAAGAGGAAAAGTTGGTAGATGGATCTATAACGTCCTAGCAAATAGAATACGAAGCGTAATAGTAAACAGTAGTCTGAGGCAGCTACGGTGAATGCTCTGTTCCACAAGGCACAGTACTCGCTCCCATCCTATTCCTCATTCTTATATCTGACATAGACAGATGTAAGCCATAGGTCCGTGTCTTCCTTTGCGAATGACACCCGAATTACCATGGCAGTGACCTCCATCCAAGACACCGCGAGACTCCAAGCGGACATAACCAAATCTTCGAATGGGCCATTCAAAACAATATGAAGTTCGATGAAGGGAAATTTCAAATACTCATATATTGAAAACTTGAGGAAATTAAAACTGTATCAGGGTATACAACAAATTCTAACCATACAGTAGAGCTAAAAAGCTAAAAAGTAATGTGAAGGACCTGAGAGTGATAATGTCAGAGGAACTCATCTTCAAAGACCACAACAATGTACCTACCGTATCTGCTAGAAAAATGATAGGATGGATAAGGAGAACCTTCAGAATTAGGGACGCCAAGCCCATGATGATTCTCTTCAAACCGCTTGTTCTCTCTAGGCTGGAATACTGCTGTACACTAACTGCCCACTTCAAGGCAGGCGAAATTGTTAACCTGGAGAGTGTACAAAGAACATTCACGGCACACATAAGTACGATAAAGCACCTAAATTACTGGGAACGGTTAAATTCACTTGATTTGTATTTCCTGGAATGCAGGCGAGAGAGATACATGATAATATACACTTGGAAAATCCTAGAGGGATTAATACCAAATGAAAAGCATTCCCCGAATGAAAAGCAAGGGTGCCACGAGTACACTGAGAGACAACACAATAAGTGTCAGGGGCCCAAGACTGTTTAACTGCCTCCTAGCATACATAAGGGGGATTACCAAGAGACCCCTGGCTGTCTTCAAGTTGGCACTGGACAGGCCCATAAAGTCAATACCTGACCAGAGGGGCTGTGGTTCATACGTCAGTTTGCGTGTGGCCAGCAGTAACAGCCTGGTTGATCAGTCCCTGATCCACCACGAGGCTTGGTCTCAGACCGGCCGCGGGGACGTTGACCCCCGAAACCCTCCCTAAGTATAATTTCTAAACTGAATTATAAATACAGTGGAACCTCTGGTCACGAACACTTCCGAACATGAACAAATCGGTTCATGGCCAAAAAAATTGTCAAATTGTTACATCTGGTCATGAACACATAATCGGGTGCCGAACAAACAGCCGCGCCAATTTTCACATTCCGCGCCCTTTTTTTTCACGTGCCAATTTTCCCCACTTCCTGTTGTTTATGTACACTGCACACCTCGCCTTGTAGTCGGTCTGAGTCAGACGTGTGTTCATTTGCTGTGAACTCCTTGTGTTGTATTTCGTGTGTTTTTTAAATCATTTTACAATTAACCATGGCCTCGAAGCAAGTGAAGAGTGGTAATGTGGGTAAAAAGAAGGGTTTAAAGAAAACTGAAATAGAAGTGAAGAAGGAAAATTATTAAAAAGTATGAGCGTGGTGTGAGTGTTACCGATCTTGCTGCGGAGTTCGGGAAGCCCAAGTCTACGATCTCGACTGTTCTGAAGCAGAGAGTGGCTATTAAAACAGCTAATGTTGCTAAGGGAGTTATGATGTTAACCCAGCAGAGGCCTCAAGTGCTGGAAGAGGTGGACAGACTGTTGCTAGTGTGGTTGAACGAGAAGCAACTTGCAGGTGATAGCGTAAGCGAGGCTATCATATGCGAGAAAGCCTGGAAGATCTGCAGCAGAATTACCCTTCTACGAGTGCAGAAAGTGATGAATTAAAAGCCAGTAGAGGATGATTTGAAAAGTTTCGTAAGAGAAGTCGCATTCATAGTGTGGTAAGGCATGGAGATGTTGCGAGTTCTCGTGTTGCTGCTGCGGAAGCGTTCGCGAAAGATTTCGCTGA